GTCTGTTGTTTTAAGATGAAATCTTAAGGCTTTGGCCAATATAATTTATTGACTGTCAGAGCCAGTAATCTGGTCTGCTTTTTAGGCTTTCCCAGTCCATTCCAGCTGTTTGAACGCATAAACCAGTGAAGCAGTACTTACTGTGGTTTTGGCAAGGCTTTACTCAAAATTCATTTTACAGTAATCATGGCTATGATTTCTGTTCGGATCTTATGGAATATAAATTGTCAAGCTGTCTTCTGACAAGTACAGGTTTTGTTCCCTCCACCCCAAGTAATTTGGTTCCATCAATCCAGCGAATTAATCTTGCATAGTTTTGCCTTCTGATGAAATGCAGTAACAAATAAGATTGCTTCAACATACCAGGACTATTTTAAATGTATCCACCAGTTCAAAGCAGGAGATGGATCTCATATTGTATGCCTGGAGTAGTTCTGGATTTGTTAGTATTTGTATAGCAGCACAGGTATGCAAAGTTCCTTGCAGATGAGAAAAAGCATGTTGCTTATTAATATGTACTGAGATTCACTGAACATAGTAACTTTGTTTTTAAGCTCACATGTTTAGGTCGGTGTGGAGACTCCAGTAAAATTACTTTTTTTTTTTTTTCTTTTTTGCCAAATTCTAGCTTTTGACGCTTTATGCTCATGGCATTTTTTAGGCCTGTAACTTGATATACATTTGGAAAATGTGCAGGGCCAGATTTCCGTACAAGATAATTAATTTTAAGTACCTCATTCTCCAAAGGGGGGTGCGTGTCTTAAAAGCAATCACATCTTTTGAGGTACTGAATAATTTCAGCATCCTGTTCTGGTTTCAAAACAATGTAGGGATATGGTTTTAGCAATAGAAATAGTTTCTCTAGAGGGTATGAGTGATTTTTGGTTTAAATACAAATGTATTTCCAGCCCAAACAACAGCACCGCACTTGTAATTAATCAGTGCCTAAAACCAAGAGCCTTGCCAGCTTGGTGAGGTAGCACATATGAGATCAGGGACAGAGTTTTTTCTCTGTAGGACACCAGGACTGGAAACCTACAGAGGTAGCTTATGCAAATGCTGGGTGGGAAAAGGGAGCTGAAGAGCACTGATTCCTCAGAGGAAATTCAGTGCCGCCCAAGGAGCAAGCTGACTGTTCAGAAATACCCTGTCCCGTGCTGCACAGCTCCTGACAGCTTCGGCTGCCTTGCAGCTCCCATTTAGCCAAGAGTCAGACCAACATTTTGATGGAAACTCCATGTTTCACCCACATCACCTGAGTGGTAGTTTGGGGTCTGTCCCAGCTCTGGATTTCTTTATGGGTCCCCAGGGAGGGAAGCAGTGGTGATGTCACAGGCTGACTGAAGCTTGAGGTTTGCATATGGAGAAAGCATGATCAGCCAAGTACATTTTAGTGCACAAATAGTTTTTTCTGGGGTAAGTTGTCATCCCTCTCAACGATTCCTTGCACAGAAGTTGTTTATACCTTTATTTGCCTTTGCTGGCTTTCTCTCTCTAACTTTTCTAACTCACTGCATTCTTTCTGAAGCAAATGACCAGATGGTCAGAGCTTATGTTATTCTAAGGACATAATAGGGATACATCAGAAAAATTAGTACCTATGTTCTTGCAATGCGCAACAGCAAATCAGCTATAATTAGTACAAAAACTGCTACTGTATGTCTCTCCATTGTGGCAACAAAAGCATCCATTGATGCTTTGTCACCACTCCTGTCTGACAGTTTGAGGAAGAAGGATGAGCTCGGGAATGGTGTGGGGCCAGCCAAAGCACAGCTTCATTTTAGCTCCCTGTCTTGCCTGTTTGGGAGGTGCACCAACAGATCCAGAGCAGGCTTTTTGGAAGCCTCATGAGCTGGAGATCTAGAGGCTGTGAGATCTGGAGATCAGAGTCTTTGAGGCTCTACATCTTCTAAGCAAGAAACCATTCAATGCAAATCAGTGTAACTGCTCAGTTCAGTGGGTTTGCATAGACCAGCCCCACCTGACAGTTTGGTCAAAGCTATGAAGGAAAATTTACCTCCAGGCTTTTACCTTCCTCTGCGTGTTGTATCGAAGTGCCTTTGTCAGTGCAGAAGTAAGTATTCTTCATTAAAAGAGAGCTTTGCATGACTATTATGTAATAGTTTTTGTTTCCTTTCCTAATTGGAGAACATTTTGAAAGAGCAATAAAACACAATTTGTTCCCTCTTTCCAAAAGGAAACATCTCCTTTTGGAAGGAAGGAGGGAGTAAGTTTGCATTATAATGAACAAATTCTTATGAGCGCATAGATCAGTATTGACATAAAAGGGTGAGTGAAATGAGATGTTCTTATGTTGTGCTTTCCCCTCCCATTTTGTTCCCTCTCACACATATTTGCCTGTGCATGTGGCTGATACTGAGCAAGGCAGTGGCTGTGCTCATAGTCACGACAGTAATACACCATAACTCAGGTAACAAAAATTCCTGTGAAAAGAATCATTCTGCGTCAGGGCTGCCTCATACACCTAAACCCTTTCCCCAGCATGTACAGGCAATGAAGGCATGTGCAGTTTACTACTGCACCTCCTTGCTAGTTGGTTTTTATTCTTCTCTATTGGTTTTGTCATTTCCTAGTACTGTCGGGATGCTGGCATGGACTGGCTGGATAAGAGTGCTGTGATTTTGCTTCAGGCGTATGACTTACCTAGCAAAGTGTTTAGAAAAACGGGAGGGTGTGAGGGGGTGAGTTAGACATGGAAGCTGCTGTCTCAGTTATTAGTCTGTCCTGCCCTTACTTTCTGGATGTTAACTGCTGTTGTCTAAACCTTTTCTCCTTCCTGACCCTCTCTCTTTGTAAGGAGTGGGTTCATTATTGAGTTTGAGAAGCTGAAAGTGACATTAACCCCCTGCCCAGCTGTTGTGGTGTCAGGGCTCCAGGCGAAATGGCATTTGTTTGGCTCCTACAGAAGTCATCCCAGCGACTGCCTGGAGAGTCTGGCTGCAAGTGAAATCCATATGCAATGCTTCTGTCAGCAAAGAATTGCTGGAAGAGTTTATAATAAATATTCACATCTGCTCCTTTGGACACTCTAATCCATCCTACAGATCTTTGCTGTGTCAGGCTTTGTTCTAGATGAAGAAGCCGGGTAGTTATAAAGGTTTGCAAATAGGGCATATTTATCATGGTTAGTTCTACTTTCTAGTTCCCTTTCTTTCACAAATATCCATGACCACGCTAAGCATAACTTGTGATTAAATATTCTCAGCGCATTTGTAAGATCTTTTTGGCTGTATGTTTCCTTGGATAAATGGAGAAAAGGGCAGTTGTTTACTTCCCAGGCTGCCAAACGAAATCATCAGATCTCAATGACCAGAGCAGAGAACATCATTGTTAAGAATTGCTTTGAATGGAGGGACAATATATTCCCTGGATATATTCCCTGTACATCACATAGGCACACCCAAGGCCCTATGGCTTGTGCATTATTCAGACTGGGACAGATTCCTCCATACTAACTTCTGTTGGCAATATGTTCCCATTGGGTACTTGGTGAATAATCTGAATGACTAAAAATAGCAAATAACTTCAGTTTTTCATAATCTTAACAAAAATGATGACATTGGTGCCAGATTGACTTTGTCAAAGTCGATACTAATTATTCCTCTGCTGGCTATGACTTTGCTTTCAGAGAGAAAATCCTGATACATAAAAAGAGCTGTAATCATTTGGAGGGTATACTGAACTTGCTCCTAATAGGAAAAGGTGTTTGACCAAGATGAGGACTGGCAGTGCAATGATCCCAATGTTGGGAGGCCCACATCAGCCTTGAAATGAGTGTATTGATCCTCTTTTTTTATTTCTTTATTTTTGTACATGAAACTCATGATTCCTATAGTTAATTTCTAAAAGGAGAGAATCTTTAGCTGGTGGCTGGGCAAGTAATTCTATACCCAAATTCTATATTAACAGTTTTATTAGCATCATTTTCCTTAAGGGGGTAAGGAAACAAGGCACTCAGTTCAGCTAAATTGAATCGGAGGATCATAGAATCAGCTAGGTTGGAAAAGACCTTTAAGATCATCAAGTCCAACCAGATACCTGACATCCTTGACACCTGGCTGAAAACCCACATTAAAGATGTCCCTGCTCATTTCAGTGAGGTTGAACTAGATGACCTTTGAAGGTCCCTTCCAACCCAAAACGTTCTGTGATTCTGTGATCTTAATTTCTTACAGACCTGTACAAGAAAAGCAGTATTAAGAGCACAGTCTGATGCCAATACCTCCAAGTATCTGAACAGCATCTACTTCTCTTGTGCTCAGTCTCTGGTTCAGAATCTGGCCCTGAGTAATTGTATCCAAATACAAGGAAAATAGCTGTGCTCCTAATGAGTAGCATGCTGGGGTTCCCAGATTCACTTAATCGCTCCAAAATCCAATCTCATCTTTATTGATCTGTCCAACTCTCCGATAATTTATCTCAGACAACAGGAACGTGCATGGACATCTTTAAAACGACGATCTCAGAACTCCCAGCGCCACTGTCTTGCTTTGCCTTTGCAAACCTCGATAACTTTCCCCTGAATTTCAGGTCAGGTCGTGGCTCTGGCGAGTGGCGATGGATCTGTTAAGGTTCTGCAAGTTGCATCTGGGCAGCAATCCAGCCTGCGGGGCCACAGCGGCAAAGTGCACAGCATTGGTTTCCATCACCAGGCAAGGCTGCTGCTCTCCGGGGGTGCTGACGGTAAGGTTTGTCTCTGGAAATGAGGACCAGCACGCTGCTGAACTTAACCTTAATCTCATGGGAAAAAACGGTTTGACAAGAGAGCAGTGAGAGCTTAGTAAATTGTTTTCATAGTTAATGTGTGCAGTGGGAATAACAGCCCGAAAGGAGTATTATTCTGTATTTTAACCAAATAAAACCCCCAGTTTCTCCCTCTTTCTGTTGACACTCTTGTTTTTTTCCGAACATCAAGACTCTCTCTTGGTCCTTCCTGGAGAAACAGCTTTACAATGACGCCTAATGACAGAGCAGCCGAACTGCAAGGAGATTGATTCTTAATGTAGCACCACACGCGACACGAGAGCCGGGCGCCCCTTCCGCGGTGCCAGCCACAGGAAAGATGTGAAGTTTTAATCATGCAGACAGGGCGGCGGTGCGGCGCTCCCCCCGCAGCACAAGCTCCGGACGCCGGCAGCAGCGAGCAGGACTTGGGGCGACGGGCGGCGGGGAGCGGCGGAAATACCGCCACCCGCCCGCGGGCACGGCGGCTGTGGCGCGCCCGCGGGCCTGAGCGCTCCGCAAACGGATTTATTCATGTTTCATCCCCCTCTTCCCTCTTTTTTCCCCCCTTCTTTTCCTACCACAATTATAATTCATTTCAATAACAAGAGGCGGGAGCGCGGAGCGGCGCGGTCCGCAGCGGGCATGCCCGGCCCCCGGCCCGGGAAGTCCCCGCAGGGGAGCCGGGGCTGCCCGCCCGCCGGCCGCGGGGCTCCTCCGCCCTCCCTCCGCCGCCTGCCCACAGCATAACCAGCCCCCTTTCCCCCGCTCCCTCCCTCGCCGTGGCAAATCTTGGAGCGCAAGAGATCCGCTGGGCATAGGGAGGGGATATATAGATGTATATGGGTTTTTTTCTCTTCTCCCCCACCCCCCCGGTCCTTCCCCCTCTCCAAGACCTGAGGAAATCCAGCCCAAGTTCGCCGCGATGACTGTGCTGCTGGCATCGGGGTTTCTCCGCGGCATCCCAGCCTCTGGACCGCCTCACCGCTGCTCGCTTTGAATCTTGAACACTGGGTTAAAGCTTAATTCTCATGTTGTGGTTGCTGAGCTGCTGCTTTCCCGTGTTTTGCGATGGGAGGTGGAGGAAAAGGGTTTGTCCGTGAGTCAACACTGAAAATGTGATTAGGACGAACCGCTTTTACTAATCTGTTTCCAACCTTTTAGTCCATGTTGGCCTGTGACCCCTTTCAGCTTTCAGATCGAGCCTGATTAGGTAAGTGTAAATTATTCACTTGGGGTGAGGGAAGGCGGGTGGAAATGTTTTACTCTGAGACTTGCCTACGATGCTGGCCTGTCTCATAATGAGAAATGATAAGAAAGTTCATCTGTAAACTCATTCCGAGATGAGCAGCGTTTGTTTACTTGTTGAAATCTGTCTGTGCAAGACGTCTGCAGTCTGTCTGCCGTCCAGGATCGCTGCTGAGCAGAGCCCTTGTGAGTTGCTGTGGGACAGCTCAGATGCTGTAGCAAAATAGAGTGGTCTTATTTATGATCTTTGGAGAACTTTTTATATATATATATATGGTATATATATATATGATTTGCAGAGCTTCCTCATCAAAACTTCAACAGATTCTCTCAATTGTTCCACATTTCCCCAGACATGAATTACTTCATTTGCTTCTGCTTGTGTTTTTTTTTTTCCTTCTGAATGCCCCCCAGCCTGCAATGTTGCAGCCTACCTGTAGCATGTAGGTGGGTGAGATTCTCAGCTCTGGAGATGATACACAAAGCAGCCACATCTGCATGAATCACTTGATTCCCAAACAACGTGTTACAATAGATATTGCTGATAGTAGAAACAGAGTGCATAATCCTTGTGATGGAAACCTAGCTAGTACTTCAGTTAATAAGATATCTTTTGAATTTGATAAAGCTTGTGTAATATCCAGTGTCTCCCTCTGTTGTGGCTTTGGAAAAACTGCTTTGTCAACAGGGTCCTTTAGCTGCTTCTTTGGGATTAAACCTTCTTTCTCCTGCTGCTGCTTTTTTGCTTCAATTAAGGGAGAATTAATTGCTGAACATCTGCAGTCCACCAAAAATCCCAATACATAAAAGGATCTCCCAGAAGGGTGGAAGGGGAGTATGTTTTTGCCTCTGTGTGTGTAGTTTAATTCATGTTTGTGTATACTGTGTGTAGCTGTGTGTGCATGCTATGGGAACGGAGCAACAGAAGGAATGCCACACTTCCAACCAGTCCATTTTTGGTCTGTGCCAGGAGCTGCCTCCGGTGTTCCTTAATCCACATAGCGCTAGTATTTCATCTCATGCAAAAGTTTCCTTCAATACCTTGCCCAGCTCTCTTAGGAGAGGTCAGAAACCATTTTGATGCTGGGGCATCCCTGGCTGTTGGGTGTGTAGGTAGGACAGTGCATTGGTGGCAGTGAGGTGGCACCATGGGCAGCCATGAGTGCACTCACAACAGGCGTGCTGGGCCTTTGCCTGGAGGTGACTCTCCCTTGGGGGCAGTGCAAAGCTCCTCTCCTGCTCTGGGTCAGTCCTCAGCTCAACTGGTTCAGCAGAGCTCTCCAGGGTCAGACCATGCAGCATTGTTCCCAGAGTTTTAACAAGGCTCTGGCTTAATCAGGCAAACACATTGCAGCGGCTCCACGCATTGCACTTAACATCTTGCTTGCTGCGTTTCTCTCTGGGAATGACATGCTGAATAATGGAGAAGGTGAATTACATCTTTGCTTCTGCTGGGATTATATGTACCTGCTGGAGGCTGGGCTGTGTTGGTAGCCCAGGTAGTCCCTTTTCCTCTTCAGAAATGCTGTATATAAAATTCCATGCTGTTCCACCGCTCATCGACCAAGTATAACCCAGCACCATCTTTCGTATTGGGGGCAGATCTACCTACAGATTATGCTTACCTCATTTTCAACTCAGGTTTCCCACCTCATTTTAATGAAGTGGGCAGTGCACTATACATAGCACAGAGGAACAGTAGCCACAACATGCTTAAACTTGTGTTGAAATCAGAGCTGCCTATCCCCCTAGAATTTCAGGCAGCTAGTTTAGTTTCTGGTGCATCAGAAAATTTGTACTGAACAGTAAAAATGAGGTGATTCTGTGAGCCACCATTTCTATGAAGATATTTTGTGCCCATATGCTTAAAGGCATGTGTGTCTAATTTATGTATTCCATATGCTTTATTCTCTTTAACAGCAACTGAGAAGAGGCTTAATTCGAATGAAACAGTGGTGGTTATCTTTGTAGTTGGAAAGCACTGATGTATTCTTGGATGCTGGTTGAAACTATGGCCTTTATAAGTCATTATTTATTAGAATCTTGAGGGTTTTCTCACTTTTAAAATATTTGTTTTCAGACCACAACACTGGTCTCCCTATGGAAGCAGCTGTTTCCATCTGGCATTGAGATCCCATGGAGCAGCTGAGGAGGGGGATGGCTCTTCGTATCCATGATGCCTGGATGCTTCTTTTTGTAATCCCTGCTTTGGTCACCCCAGCTGCCATCAATCATGAAGACTACCCTGCTGATGAAGGGGACCAGACCTCCAGCAATGACAATCTGATCTTTGATGACTACCGAGGGAAGGGCTGTGTGGATGACAGTGGCTTTGTGTACAAACTGGGAGAACGTTTTTTCCCGGGGCATTCCAACTGTCCCTGTGTCTGTACTGAGGATGGACCTGTTTGTGATCAACCAGAATGCCCTAAAATCCACCCAAAGTGTACAAAAGTGGAACACAACGGATGCTGTCCAGAATGCAAAGAAGTGAAAAACTTTTGTGAATATCATGGGAAAAATTACAAAATCTTGGAGGAATTTAAGGTATGGAACCCTTTCTATTTTCTATTTTCTGTTAGTTTGCTCTAGGAATTGTATTCATTTCTGTTGGGGACTCTCAAAGTCACTCTTGTTTCCTTACAGCTATTAATTAATGCTAAAGCTGAAGTCCTTTTTAGCTGTGATGCAGGTCTGGCTAATGTAAAAGCTGCCCCCTCCCCCGTTATGTGCCCTCGCTGAGGGCTAGTGGTCATTCAGAAGCCCCCATGTGAAATACCAGCCCTCTGAAGCTGCTATTCTGAACAACCTCCTTCTTTGCGCATAGTATGAATCAAGTTGGACTACCAATGGGATAGATAAAAGAGGTGGTAAACCAGTACTGAGTGCTTTTTAAGAAACCCTTTTCCAGTTTGGATAGCAAAATCTGATGGCATGGTACTGAGAGCTGTTACTCGTAACTGTATGAGAATGCAAGTAAGTAGGTCTCAATCTATACTTAATATTTTCAGTTCAACTGTGATAAGGCTGTCTAGAATGGCGGAAGATCAGTTCCTAGGCAGATGACCATATCAAGTAATGAGAAGTGTGGGGTTTAATTGTAATGGTTCAGTTCCCATTAGGAAAGTTGTTAGGAAATCCTTCTGGAATATGTCTTCAAAATAAGACCAGATTTTCAAAAACCCATTACCCTTTACACAACCTGCATCTCTCATTCTAATGAGTTTGATTGCATGTTTTCAATTCTCCTAAGGAAAATAGCATTTCACAATGAAGAACAGGGTTTTTAAAGGCAATAGCAATATACAAGTTTGTTCTCCCAGGTCACGTGGCTTTTAAGATTTGTGCCTCCATAGTTAGCAACAGCCTGTAACTTTTCATGGCTGTATGCGTGATCTCATTTTGCACTTGCCAATTTATTCTCTTTTCTGACAATGAAAGTACTTCCACAGAGGTCTGTGTATTTCAAAAGCTCTTGGTGACGTAGGTCTCAATTTCCTTTTTCCCAGATACTGTAATTTTCAGTGAAGGTAGTATTTAGTTCCTTCCCCTTTTATCATGTGCTGTTTATGTTCATCTTTTTCTGTCCATCTGTAAATGCAGTTTCTCAGTATGGGCAAGACAGTTCAGTGTCATAGACACAAGCCAAAACGAGTATATGGGGAACATCTCCTTGAAGGCCATCCTGATCAACCTGTTCTCTGCTCTGCTGAGGAACGTGAAGATGTTGATCTTGTGAATTGGTTAAATAACAGTTTCTTCTTGCCCTAGGGAGGCCTATCCCAGCTTCATCCCATGATCATGGTTCAGTGATCCCATTTTGAGTGCTGAGTTGTCAGGGGGTAAAGTATCCCACCTAGGTGCAATTCTGATACATGGTCAGGTTCTTAAATGAAAGTTATAAGGACTATTTTGGAGAGATTTTAGAAAGGAGAAATGTATAAGGACCCTTTCCGGATTGATTCCAGAGGGAAAATAATGAGATGGATCTTCTCATTAAAGTATCTTTTGCATGTGAATGAAGTACAAAAGTACTGATCACTTTTCCTGAAAGAAATAATTGCACTCTGATAATGGATTGAAGGGTAGAGAAACAGATTTTAGGGGAGAAAGGCTGTTAGAGCAATCTGGTTCATTGTTTGCTGTGTTCAAAACCTGTGGGTTGAAAAGTGAAATTCCAGTATCTTCCGAGAAACACAGAGTAGATGGTGGCACACCACTCACACACACAGTAGCCTTCAGTCCAGGCTGTGAGATCCTTCAGGCTTAGTTTAGTTGACCATCAAGCTTTTGACCTGGAGCTATGTTTTGCCGAGAGCTCAATACCCTGTGGAGTAGGGCAGAAATGGTTTGGGTTGTTTTTTTGCTTTTAATCTATGTTTTTACATAGAATAAATAGTGAAATTCTTTTTTTGCTTCTAAGTAGAGGAAGAGATTCAGGTAGTGGAGGATTACTGTGCACTTTCAGGAGTGTTTGAGGGGGAAAAAAGGAGCACCTCTGAACTATGATTTTAGAAATCCTACGGGAAAGACAGAACTTCTGGATTCAAGAAACTGCTGCTATGAAGGGGAAATCTTTACTTCGTTGACGCATCCAAGTATTTTTGACTGTTTACTTCACAGAACAAAGATTTTTACCTGTTGTCTCCGCAGATGACATTCTGAGCAGTTCACAGGTTTTACAGGCTCCAATCTCAGCTCTTCCCTCATCCTGTTGAATTTATAAGGTCTGCAAACTTTCTCAAGTCCATTCCACACACACTGAAGTTGAAGAGGGGCTTGCTCCAGTCATTCTAACTCAAACCCAGACTGTTTTCAGTTAGAAGGGAGGCACTGTTTTATGTGGGCTTGTAACACTTTCACCCACTTGATTTACTTTTTCTAATATGTAGGTTCCAAATCATCATCCACAGAAGTGCTTGTCACTGCTTCGTTACAGCTGAAACGAGCCTCCATTTAAAAACCTTTCGCAAATGTGAATCTCTGTGTGTGCCAGGACTTGTTCAGCCTGGAGAAAAGAAGGCTCTAGGGAGACCTTAGACCAGCTCCCAGTGCTACAGGAAACCTGGAAAGGGGCTTTGGACAAGGGCCTGTAGGGACAGGACAAGGGGAATGGCTTTAACCTGCCAGAACAGGGGAGACTGAGATGAGCTCTTAGGCAGAAGCTCTTCCCTGTGAGGGTGCTGAGGCGCTGGCACAGGGTGCCCAGAGAAGCTGTGGCTGTCCCATCCCTGGCAGTGTTCAAGGCCAGGTTGGACACAGGGCCTTGGAGCAACCTGCTCCAGAGGAAGGTATCCCTGCCCATGGCAGGGGTTGGAACTGAATGAGCTTTAAGGTCCCTTCTAACCCAGACCAGTCTGGAATTCTGTGACTGACTCATCTTGTAGAAATTTCAACTGCCTTATCTTCCACAAATTAGGATTTACTTTTCTTTTTTTTTTTTTTTTTTTTTTTCACTAGGGAATTTTCTTCCCTAGGGTATCAAAATCTGTGAGAGGTTTACATTTAGGAAAGTTTTCATGCCTGGTTTCTAGATTTCTGCTCTAGGTTTGCGGTGAGAAATCCAAATGCAATTTAATGTAGTGTTTTTTCCTTAACGTTGGCAGTAACTGTGAGTATCTCGATACAGTAGTAGTTATAAAGGTCCATTTCTTGAATATTTAGCTTTCTTCTAGTGAACTGATCTTGTACCTTGGATTTTTTTTGACTCGTAACAATTGTAAGTGCAAAATACAAACATAGCAACAAGCCATCTAGTTTAGAAGCTGTCCTGATGTTTATGCTTGTGCCCTTAAATTCTTATCAGGTACAAATGAAATGCTGAAATGAAGTTCACTTGTAAATCTAAACCCATTAGCAGTTTCTCTTGTATACTTCTGTAAAATCTTGTGTTCCTCACAGATGGTTTAGTAACCCCATGTAGCATCTTCAGAGCTCTGCTATGGGTCCTAGGAAATCTCTGTGGGCTTGGGGCCTCAGCTGCCCATACAGAGAGTGCCTTATCCCCTTGGTTTGACTGGGATTTAACTCCAACTTCGGCTGAGGCTGTGGTTCCACATAGAAACCCCTGCAGGAAAAGGTCAGCACAGTCTCTGAGGTGAATCAAGATCTGACTCAAGTATGTCTAATGTATAGAACAGTGTTCAGGGTTTTGATTCCTGTGGAGCAGTATGCTTGAGAAAGGAGAAGTCTGGTGACTTCCACCGTCATCCATCTATCTCTTTCCTATCTCATTTTCCACTTCTCTCCTTGTTGACCTCAAATCTAGTCTCTTGCATCTCCTCTGGTCCCTCTCAGAGGCAAACAGGGTGATGCTTGGCTGTGGTGGCTGCAGGGGAAGGTGTGGAGGATGTTGCAAGCCTCGGGCAGTCTTTCTGTTTTCTCCAGAGAGATCAGGCAGGGATTCTCAGGGTCACTTAGCAGCTTGCTTTTTCTCCCACACATCAGCCATGTTTTGATTTCAGTCGTGGCAGTTAAGGTCTGAGTCCCAAATGCTCTGCACTTGCCTGTACTAGCAGAGATCTTTCAAGGAGGTTGTTAACCCTCCCCTTTCTTCCCAGAGAGAGAAGACAAGCAAATACCAACTCAAAGAGCAGTCTCAGGTATTCTTAAGTCCACATGGTTGTGTTTTAAATGAATGTTCCCAGGCAGCAGCTTATATAAACTTAAGGAGACGGTGTACCACCAGCGTGATGGATGTTCATTGGCAGCTTACGGAGGAGAAGTGCAAATGTCAGTGAGACAACATTTTTCCTAAGTGCTGATTAGTTTTCACTCTCCTGCATAACTTGCTGACAGAAAAGCTCACACATACCCACATTAAAGAAATGCAGTTTACAGTGTGGTTAAGAAGTATTTGTAGTCACAGTTAGAAGCCAATGAAGAGGAGTCTTGGGTGGTATGGTCTAGTGTGAGGTGTCCCTGCCTATGGCAGCCTCCTGCCACTGGGACTAGATGATATTAAGGTCCTTTCCAACCCTAACTATTCTATGATTCTGTGATTAGGCTGTCAGTTGGAAGACTCCATAATCACTTCCAAATTTCCCAGATCTCTCACCACTCCATATAGGCATATCCAGAATAATCTTCTATGGACCTATGTGAATTTGTAGCAAAATACCCTCACTGGGAAATGAATGATGAGTTCACAAGAGATTTTCAAGCTAACGTCTTGAAACATTCTCTTCATTGGAGACCTTCCAGACAGGAACTGCTCCCTTTTCCTTCAGGAGAGCAAGTCCCGGTGATATGGGGTTTGGTAGCATGGTGCCATCCTTCTCAAAGTCAATGGCAGAAATTTTCTAGGCATTAAAATACCTCCATTTGCCAGGTAGGACGTTGGGTGTGTTATCCGTTGGGTGGTAATGGAAGAGGCTTTGGCATCACAGCTTGTCTTTCTTGGTAGTATTCAGGAGAGAAGATCCGCTTCAACCTGAACTTGAGCTTGGAAACAGCTCTGAACATCAAGGACATTTTTTGGGTGCCCTTCAGTGGCCACCCTCCTTTCTGCCAAGCACAGAGCTGCAATTTCTTCTAGCCTTTGGTTC